CGATTGATTTTTCAAAATTTTAACACCCAATTAAATTAAAAAAAAAAGAACACAAATTGATGGAAAAAAGTAAAGGAAAAAACCAAAGAAAAAAGAAAAGAAAAAACATATGTAGTGCTTTAGCTAGAGGATTCAATTTTTTATTTTAAAATTTTAGGAATCAAAGTGAAACAAATTGAAAATTACAGAAAAAAAACCTAAGCTACGGTTAATGAATAGTAAATTATCCGAGGATGAATAGTGATTTTCACGATTCAAAACCCTCACGTGTTTTAATTTCTTTTTATGGGTTTGGAGACCCGACATTGGTTGAGTGACTTAGGGGTTAGGGTCAAAATAAAAGAATCCAAGGGTTAAAACCTAAATTTACAATCCAAGTGTGTTGGCCGAGTTCGAGTGACTTGGTCTAGGAATAAACTAGTTGGATATCCGTATTACACTCGCGAACGAGATAACTATTATATACATAGAGTTAATGATTCGTATGGTATAATGCGAATAGAAAGTTATATATCTATAGAATAAATAGAAAAATATTAAAAAAACACCTAAATTGTAGAAATATATTGAAGTCAATTGATTAAAATAAAAACTATAACAAAATTAGTATATATATATATATATATATATATATATATATATATATATATATATATATATAACAAAATTAGTTCGATAAATTTTGAATAAATATATATAAAAAAACAAATAAAACTTGTGAATTTTTTGAACTCATTATTATTTTTAAAAAAAATTGAGTCAACCTATCTAAAACATACTTTTAAATCTCTCTCTCTCTCTCTCTCTCTATAGATATATATAGTTATGCTATGACAATATGTATATTATTTTAAGGAGTTCTTTTTGCCTCTTAGTGATCCAATCCTAAAACACATCGAGATTTAAAATAATCGGCCTTTTTTTTTGTTCTATCATCATATTGGTGGCTAGACTTTTAAAAATATAAAATAAATTATAGAAAAACAGAGAGCAAGGTCTCGCTTGGTGTGTGTGTGTGTGTGTGTGTGTGTGTGTGTGTGTGTGTGTGTGTGTGTGTGTGTGTGTGTGTGTGTGTGTGTGTGGTGACTTAACGGACTTGGAGTATATAAACTATATAAAAAATATATATAAAAAATCCTACTTAAATTATATGGAATATCTTGAAGTGAATAGATTTAAATAAAAACTATTATAAAATTGGTTTCGATAAATTCGATTATATATATATAACCAAATAAAGCTGTGAATTTTTTTAACTAATTATTAATTTTTTGGAAAATAACAAACTCAAATTATTTTTTTAATTGATTCTTATTTTTTTAAAAATGAAGTCAATTATTTAAGACATACTTTTACCTCTTTCTTTCTCATTAGAATTTATATAAGCAACAATGCCATTTTCATATAAAAATCATAAAAATAATAAATCGTACAAATTATAATAATATATCTTAAAAAATAAAATAATCATGTTCTAAAATTTTATTTTAAAAGTTATATATATATATATATATATATATAAATTTATTAATAAATTAAAAAATAAAGGAAAAACTAAATCTCAACGACTCAACCGATTAAAAAGAAGAAAAAAAGGGATGCTAGTCGAAAAAAAAAAAAGCTACGGTAATGGGACCGTGAAGGATGCTAAAGTAATGAGACTCGAAGGATTACTTCAGCAACCTAGGCCTTTAAGGAGGAAAAAAAGAAGGCAAGGTGGGAAAGAAAAAAAAAAAAAAGGAGGGACTTAGCATGAACAATCAACCCCTAGTTCTTTTATTTATTTATTTATTTTATAATTTTTGCCCTACGCCGTGGTCGGACAATCATTATATAAACATGGTTAACGATTTGTATGGTATGATGCGAGTAGATATTTTCTTTCCGAAGATTAATGTAAATCGAATCTATATATTAAGCAAACTTATTTGATTTCTATGTATTTATTAACAAAATAATTTATTATATTAGTATAAAAAATTATATTTGAATAATTAAGAAGTTGTTTCAAAACATTAATTAAATTATTTTATTTAAAAGTATAGATTTTAGAATATGAAAAAAATAAATAAAAAATAATTGATGTTATGTGTGTAGATATAATTAATTTCTAACAAAACTATATATATCATAATTGACAGATTTAGAGTATAAAATAAATAAATAAATATAAAAAACCCACCTAAATCACATGAAATATATCGAAGTAAATAGATTTAAATAAAAACTATTATAAAATTAGTTTCGATAAATTCGATTATATATATATAAAATCAAATAAAACTTGTGAATTTTTTAACTAATTATTAATTTTTTTTTCAAAATAGAGCGAATTATTTTTAACCGATTTTTATTTTTTAAAAAATAAGATAAATTATCTAAAATACACTTTTAGTTCTCTCTCTCTCATCGAATATATATATATATATATATATATATATATATATATATATATATATATATTACTTAGTAGACTCATAGTATATAAAATAAAAGATATATATTAAAAATTCACTTAAATTGCGGGGAATATATCGAAGTGAATATATTTAAATAAATACAACTATAAAATTGGTTTTGATATATATATATATATTAGTAGACTCGTAGTATATAAAATAAATTAAAAAACATATAAAAAAACTCATTTAAATTATATGGAATATATCGGAGTGAATAGATTTAAATAAAAAACACTATAAAATTGATTTCAAGAAATTCTAATTATATATATATATATATATATAATCAATCAAATAAAACCTATGAATTTTTTGATCGATTATTAATTTTTTTCATTAAAGAAAGGAAAATAAAGAAAAAAAGGAGGCCGATCGTTAAAAGGGAAAAAAATGATACAACTACGGTGAATGACAACCCAGCCCTTTAAAAAAAAGGAAAAAAAAAAGAGGCCAACGTTTAAAAAAAAAAAAATGCTACCGGAGGGAATGACGACTCAACCCTTTAAAAAAAAAAAAAAAAAGAGGCCGACCCGAAAAAAAGAAAAAGACCAGACCTTGAAATGACAGACTCAACCCTTTAAAAAGAGAAAAAAAAAACAAAAGGACTAATTAATTTGTTTCTCAAAGAAAAAGGGATCAAAAAGCAATAAAAAGAAATGCATGAATCGGACAATGAGTTTGAAGCTATAGTGAACGAATAGTTACACTCGCACTTCTTTTAGTTTTTTTTTTTTTTTTTTTGCTTTTAATAATAGTGAACCAACAAACTCTTGGAAAGAAGGGGGAGAGAGAAATGCCATGCAATTTTAGGAACATCATTGAATATTTAAAAAAGAGTTAGCAAAGTTTCTAAGGGACTAATATGAAAAAAGGCTCAATTTTAAGGATGATAATGAGTTTTTGAAAAAATGGGGGCACACTATGCATATGCACCGCCTGAAGAATTAATCACTTAAACGGATATGGACCTTAAGGGTATCCTTGTTTGGTTCGATTAATGACTTAGGCAGTAGGAGCTATATGGTAGAAATTCGTAGGTTTGGGGCACATTTATACAAATAGAGTTATTACATCACAGTACATTAATTTTGATTAATCAAAAAAGTAAATGAAATTACAATTATATTTCTTTTCTACTCCATAAAGAATTTTACTTCTCTTAGTGTAAACTAAAATTTGAATCTTACGTTCAAGTTATATCCAAAACAAATATTTTTATTACATTAACTTTGACTAACCAACCAAGGAAATGAAATAGCAATTACATTTCTTTTTAGCTAATGAGGATTTTACTTTTAATAATATTCTAACCTAAGATTAAAATTTTAGTACAGTGAAGGAAAGAAAATATTTCTTTATCCATCAAATCAATTCTTCAAACTAAATTCATATTCTTTTATATGAACAAATAGGTGAATAAGTATATAGTTGTTTAAAATTATGTTGATTTTTTTTACAATCTCGCTCCCATTTCTATAGAAAATACTGAGATTTCAACCGAGGAAGCTGATCTTGTGGCGTGAAGTCACAAAAGATTAAAATTATATCGATCTTGTTGGAATTAAACTCTTTATTTAATTATTTATTTACTTTTTTTTTAAAAAAAGTAGCTGGATAAGGAGTAATTAAATTATAAACTAGTCCTTTTAGTTTTCCAAAAAGAATCAAATAGTCCCTCTAGTTTCAATAACTAATTAATTAGTTTTTTTTTAATATTTTTTTAAGTCTATTTTTAACTTAAATACTTTTCATTATTTTCAAATTTATTGTGAGTTTTGTATTAATAAATAAAAAATAAAGAATTTGTGACACAGGAGTGTCCCTATGAGGGTCTAATGTTTGGGCCCAATGTTTCAAGCTGGTTTATTTATTTTATTAATATTTAGGTGTTTTATTTTCCTAGGGATTCTTTTTTAGTTTAAGATTATTTTCAGTTTGGTATTTCCTTTTCTATTTGGAATTTATTTTAGTCATTTTTTAGGAAAGTATCCTTCTAGCCCTAGGGTTTATTAGGTAAGAAATTGCTGCACCTTTTTGCCTTTTTTTTTTTAGCCGACTTCTGACTATGATAGTGTTTAAGTATCCTTATGTGATGTGGAACACCAACTTATTATTATTGATTGAATAAAATTCTTGAGCAATTTCTTTCAACTATTCCCTCGTGTTAATTCTTGTGTTTGCTTAGAGTTTTGTGATTGTTGTATTTATAGATTGATCTTTCAAGGTGATGTCATCGATCATTATTAACTAAAGTTGTAATGGAGTTCTAAATCTTGTCAAAATCAATCAAAACTAGGATTACTTTGTTGATTGTGTGCTTAAGTTGTAGTGGGGTTTTCAGCCTTGTCAAAATCGACTAAAACTATGGTTTTTATTGAACAAGATACGACTTTTAGGGTTATTTATGGATTGATTGTTTGTCTTCATAAATCTAGTGTCAACCTAGTATTAGAGTTTTGGTTTACTTTTCGTGCATGTTCTTGACAACGTTTGTGAAGATGTCTTCTAGAAAATAACCAAATCGAATGTTTATGGTAGACTTGCAACATGAGAGTGTGCGTTTGCACCAAATACTTGAGGAGTATGAGAGGAGGGACTTGCAATGTGAGAATGCATGTTTACAACAAAGACTTGATGAGTATGAGAAGAGAGACCATGTGGCAAATGGCCAACAGTCTGAGGGTGTGGAGGAAATCAGAGGAGCGAAATTTTAGCAACAAAAAGATGATCTCAAAGATGAATTAATTATGATTCTAGTCCATTTGTAGATTGGAATTAACTTTCAAAATTTGATGAGGATTTTTTTGAGCTTGGTGCACATGAAAATCTAAATTGCTTCTGAATTTGGACCAACCAATCTATAATGAAGCTGATGATGCTGACTTTGATAGTCCTGAAGGTGCTAATATTTTTTAGCAAAGAAGTTGTTATTGTTGCTGCTAAAGAAATTGCAGGCTTTCTTGGTCGTAGATCATCTATTTCTCTTATTGATGTTATACTAGCAAGTTATGTGATCCTTCACATGGAAATCTCCAATGTGGAGGAATTGTCATTGAATAGGGAAGCACATATACTTCAATTATTTGGCGTTGCCAACTTCCAACGAACTTCTATTCCAAATTCAAAGTTATCAATTTGAAAGTTATTTTTGGAAAAATAGATCTCATTCTATCTAGTTTCCTACAATGTATATGCCATCGGGAAACCCTCTTTGTGAAATGTAGTTCTTTCAAAAAGATATTCTTAAATAAAGGATAAGTTGATGAAGGTGACGAAATTGAATGTTCATTTCAAAATTAGAATAAATCGAGCCAATTTTCTGCAAGAACTGAAACATCTCTCGATCAAAGAAAGAAATTGCTGCAGCATCTTTAGCAAGTCCAATAGCAGGGTCATAGTGAATAAAATTCTTGAGAAATTTTTATTATTATTTATTGAATAAAATTTTTGAGAAATTTCTCTCAACTTTTTCCTTATGTTAATTCTTATGTTTATTTAGGGTTTTATGTTTTATGTATTCTTAGATTGATCTTTCAAAGTGGTGTCATCTATCATTATTAGCTAATATTGTAGTTAGGTTCTAAATCTTGCCAAAATCAATTAAAATTAGGATTACTTTTATTGATCGTGTGCTGCAGTTGTAATAGAATTTTCAACCTCATTAAAATAAATTAAAACTAGGATTTTTGTTGAACAAGATTCGACTAATAAAGCTTCATTGCTGATTAATTTTTTGTCTTTACAAATTCGGTGTCAATACAGAAAGAATGATGATATTTTTTACAACAAAATAATGTTTAATTAAACATAATCCACATAGATTAAGAGATTAATTAATTAAGTTTTTTTTAAAGAATTATTTAATTCATTTTGCAAAAATAAAGAGATTAGTTTATGATATACTCTATGATAAGTCTCAAACAAATGATAAATTAAGCACTCATCATATTTTTTTCGAGCAACCAAACTGCTACTGTCTTTTTTGTTTCCTTGTGGTTATTATAATAATAATTATTGTTTGGTTTTGCCCTAATTTGAACCACCTCGAAGGCTCGAACTACTCGCTTCTTCCACATACTAAGTACATATGTTACCGTACACGGTAACGCATGCATAGTATATTATTGGCACTCAGAATTAATATAGTACGTATTAGGCTCAAATATCCACGTAACCCAACAGATTAAACAAATGCAGGCACGTGAAATACGAGTTGAGCAAAAGCAAGTGTCATCCACATTTCCTTCAAGATTTGATCAATCATAGTATCACAACGTGTAGGGTACTAAAGTGTTTGGAGGAGATCTTGAGGCATGCACGAGATTGGAAAAATATTTATACCCAAATTCCAGCACACACACAGCACATAACATATAAAATCAAATCTCAACCCTTTATTCAGTTTTGGCTGATAATTAAACACAATTAATTTAATTAATTTAACTCATCAAATTTGACTTAATTAACAGACCAAATATGTGGTCCCTAATATCATGTTGCCAAAGATAATGTCAGTCACAGTACCAACATGGAGACATTTTCATCAAATCCATAAAGGAATCATCGCGGGATCGTTAAGGCAGGATCATGCCCTTAATTGTGACATTTTTTTTGTGTTAATTACTATGATTAGTTTAAGTATTGTACGTGGACACAGATTGGAATTAATTGGCTTCTAGAGATTTATATCAATGTTATAGATTAGCACATGCAATTTTATCTGCTATACGTAATATTGGGCGATTTGCTCGTGCCCACATATTCCAAATTTACCCAAAGATCAATTTTTTAAAGATTGGAATTCATGATCATATCATATGGCATACACAGTCAAGGTAAAAAGTTTATATAAAAAGGTAGCTTGTTTTTTTATGCAAATGGTGTGTTGAAATTATGGTTTGACATGGTAGTTTTGCTTTAATCACTCCCAGCAGGAAGCTGGTGAAAGAGAGCTCGGCTTCCAATTCATGTCATGATGTACTCAAGACCCTTTGAAACTTTTTTTTTTTTTTTAATGAGTTTAATTAGCAAACCGCACCCTGTTGTCTGCTTCAATGTTATTGGCTATGGAATCTTTTTATATTGTTCGGGTGAAAAAGTATAAATATCCATGCAACAGAATCATGAGATTTTATGACTCATGAAACACCAAATGTTGACAGCAGGAAAAATGTGGCATATTATATATCATTTGTGGAAGAATATGAACCTCTTATACATATATATATATATATATATATATATATATATATATATATATATATATATATAATGTTTCAGGGCAATGCTTACGTCCCAGGTACAATCCATTTTGGTGCCCGATGGATCGTGATCCACTATATACCATTGTGAGCTTCAAGATTATGGCCCTATTGGCGTGGGTCTCCATTATTAATTCTCCTAGCTTCTCATGCAAAGCACTGTAGGCTGGTACGCCATAGGGTAATGATTCTCTGATTTGAAACTTACACTCACTCACAAAAAGAGGAAAAAGAAAAAGAAAAAGCTACTCTTGAAGAAAAATGCCGTTATCTTTTAATCCTCTGAGTTCTTGTTTCTTGATGCACACTCCTCTCCGATTACGGACCATTAAATCTCTTTTGGTATTGGAATGATCGACATTGAATTGACACTGTATAGCTAAATTAAAAGAGAGGCTAGTACTTGGTTTGTACTTGCAATCATAAAGTAGAGCGCGACCCACCCCCCCCCCCCCTCTCTCTCTCTCTCTCTCTCTCTCTCTCTCCAAACTATCTTAAGTTTAAAAAATCATCCATTATTTATTCAATGGAAGATATAGAATGGACATAATTATTTAAAAAATTTCTACATATATTTTCCACTTTAACCAATTTGTTTGGAAAATTTATTGTCATAACCCAATTTTTTCCTTTAAAGGAAAAAAAATAAATAAAAAAAGAATAATAAAACAAAAAAAGAAAAAAATATAAAATCTCCGTAAAATCATTCAAAAATCTGTTCAAATCTTTTTTAATTAGAATCTCCTTATTTTTAGCTAGAAAAATCTCAAAATTAAGATTTGATAATTAAAATTTGATTTTTGAATTGATTTTAGGAAAAATTTTAGGACGTTTTCAGCTTATAAAAAGCTTTCGAATTCCAATTCGCGAGAGGGAAGAAAAAAACGTAGCAAAAAAAAAAAACAAAAAAGAAAAAAATACTGAAAACCTAAAAAGAAGAAGGCAAACACGCCCTAACCCAATTACCGGATCCGGTTACCCGTTAACCCGATCGAAACTTTTGAGCCTCGATTGATCGTTTTTCGATTAGATTTTGACACCGATCAACATACTCACGTATAGCCCATCACCAGATCAATCCATCAACACCGGTTAGAGAGAGAAAGAATCACAGAGGAGAGAGAAATCGAAGATCAAACCACCACAACCCAACCCGAAACAATACTCGTTCGTTTCTCTCAAATCCGATCACCAACACAAAATAGACCACCACGGAACCGATCGTCGGTCTCCCCTCGGTGTTTTCATATAAACATATCGATCCAACGACACCGAAAAACGATTTAATTGAGCTCAACCCGTTTTCGACCCGTTTTGGCAAACCCGATAAAATTGACCGATCTAGGCGAAATTGGAGGTTCTAACCACCACGGAACTTCTTCTCTCGACCTTGCAAGTCGACCGATGTGCTTGGAATCTCGAGAAGAGGTCGGATTCATCACCGATGAAGAAGAGAGATCCGACCGAACCTTTGGAGGCTCCGATCTCCCTCCTCCCGCGTCATCTCCCGTCGATAACACCATCATTGGACTCGCAACGATCCGATCTACAAGGCTAGGTGGTCCACGAGCCCGAACGGTCATCGAAAGGCGAACGGTCACTTGGCGGTGACTCTTGGCATTCCAGGGGCATTTTGATAATTTTACAATATGGTGGATTTTGGACTCGTTTGATTTATTTTATGTGTTTCATTTTTTTTTATTTTACATATGTATGTTAGAAATTTTGAAGATACATAGATGTGAAATTTATTTTAACATGAGATTTTTTTTTATGATTAAAATATTATATCAACGAGTCTCCTATTTATTAGGGACGGACGATGATTTCGATATATTTAATTTTTTGAAATTTGTTTCGATTGATTATAGTTAATTAAAATTTTAAAGCTTTCTTTAAAAATAAAAAAATATATATATATATATATATATATATATATATATATATATATATATATATATATATTTTACAAAGTCTCCTATCTAATAAGGATCGACGTCAAAAAAAATCTAAAATTCTTGACGAAGTCTCCTATCCGATTGGAACCGACGTCACCAAAAAATCATTGTTTAAATCAAGATGTCCTTCGACACACCGGTTATGTTAAGGCTTAAGTCGAATCCGATGTTTCAATCGACATGTCACCCGACGAAGGGGACCGACGATCATTTCAATACGATGGCACGCTCAAAACTAAAAAATTTAATTTTTCTATAAAAAAAAAAGAGATTAAGAATCAGAAAATAATTTGACATAAATAAAATATTTTAGGAGATAAATTTAGAGCTAAACTAGACGTGCTACCTTTTTTTCGGAAAGGGCACTTTTGGGTGATTGATATTTTCCCAAAAGCGTAACTAACTCCTTACCATGGAATCTCCGAACCGAGTGTCCGTTTTAGGTTCCTAGTTCCTTCAATACTAGGTGGCGACTCCAAACTCTATAAATAAAACTTGTAGACATTCAACTTAATTTTGAATATTTTTTAGGAGTCCCGTCCGACATCGTGTAGCGACGGAATGACGAATCTATCGGGAACTAGAGTTAGGCAATAAGTTTAGTTTTTAATTTATCTCCTATGTTTAGTTTTATCATTTTATTTTTTGAATTTTTTTATTTGTTTGTGTATATATTTAAATTTTTTATCAGCACATTTATTTTTTGAATTGGGTTGTACGTCTTTTCTTTTAATTGTTGCACACACCACGAAGGAAACCTCTAAAAGCTGCGGACTCGAGCCGAACCCTAATAGGAATTAGATAGAGTGATTTGGAGGCGAGTATGACGAAAGTCTATTGATGCTCTTCCGGACTCTCATTTGGATTGAAACTCATCATATACATCGAAATGGTGGAATAACCTTCCCCTACCTCTAGTGTATAAGGTTAGAGGTTGGATTACCCCACTCGGTAATTTAGACGAGTCTAGAAACTTGAAATATCTTTAGGACTAGTCAAGCTTTTCCCAACCATAGAAAAGCTAGATCTTATCTATTAGGGTTGACTCAATTAAGACACGAATCATTGTCAAATGATGTCGATATTGACCTTTGGTATTCCAAAGGTATTTTTGTAATTTTTAGTGAAGGTTATCCTTCGTATTAAATCATGATCGAAGAAGTCGAAATAAGGTTGAGGATTTTGGATCAAATTTGAGCGGGCTTGAAATGATAAAGGAGATTGTATGCCCTTGAATTTCGTGTTGAGACTACAAAAAAAAGAGGTTTTACCCTTCGTGTGTTTATAATAAGAGTGGCTTCATCATTTCAAAATCAAGTCACGATTGAAATTAGGGGCATATATATCTCCCTAATCTCCCAAGTATATGTGGGGTAATTTTGCCCTCGGCGAGTATTAGCTCGGTCTAATTCATCCTCAACAGGATTCCGTCATGATTTAACGAGCACAAAATAAAGAAAAGGTTTCCAATCCGAGTTCAAAATCATGCATTTGCATTAAGTATTTATTTGTATTTATTTCTTTTGCATATAGTGAAGTAAACATAGGTCGCTCACTCAATCCCCTCCGTACGTCTACAACATTTGACTTCGGACTTACCAAATGGAGAATGAGGAAAAACCACGACAAGAGCCAATTAGCCAACAAGAGTTTGACTCGCTGAAAGAGAGTATGGCTTAGATGACATCTCTGTTAGAGTAAACATTAAGAGGGGAGGTAGCTTGAATCAAGGATAACCCAAAGTACCGCATGCTTGTTCCATCACCTCATCGGTCGAGGCCTTCCAATCATGTAACTGTTCATGCCGAAGGTTCACATCCGACTAGGACATTCGCTTATCCCATAGACCCGAGAGTCTCGTAAATGCCTCCAGTTGATCTTACGAAGGGGAAGCTTATGGTCCTAGAGGCGGTTGAAGGCCCAAGCATGGATAGACTCATGGCATTAGAAGAACGCTTAAGAGCAATGGAGGGGGAGGACATCTACGATCCGATTAGGGCCTTCGAAATGTGTTTGGTGCCCGATGTAGTGATCCCGAGGAAGTTTAAGGCGTCGATTTTGCTAAATATACCGAGACCCGGTGTCCTATGACCAACTTGAGGGTATACTCCGGTAAGATGGCAGATGTTGTTCACGATGAAAAATTACTCATACATTTCTTTCATGAGAGCTTAGGCGGATCGACATTGATTTGGTATATGAGGTTAGAGGGGTCCAAGATTAGAGGATGGAAAGATCTAGCCGATGCTTTTCTCAAGCAATATAAGTTTAAAATGGAAGTGGCTCCGAATCATTCAGATCTCCAAGGTATGGAAAAAAGAATGAAAGAGACCGTTAAGGAGTACGCGCAAATGTGGCGTGAGGTAGCGGCTCAAATCCATCCACCATTACCAGAATATGAGTTAATCTTGATATTTTTGAATACTTTTAAAGCACCCTACTTTGAGTATTTGATTGGTAATGTTTCAACCAACTTCACCGATATTATTATCATAGCGGAGAGGGTGGAGCAAGTAATTAAAGCTAGAAAGATTTACGAAAAGACAAAGGGCGATGGTAACAAGAGAATAGATGAGGAGATACATCGAGTTGGGACTCGGATGTTATCCATCAAAAAATCGAGGGAGTAACCAAAGAAAGCATAAAAACCATGATAGCTACAACCAAAGACCTTCATTCACCCACTATACCCCTAACCCAACAAACACTATAAACCAAACATACCCGTCAAATCAATCAAACCCATCCCGTATACCTCACCAAACTTACCAAGTAAACCAATTCTCTCAAGCTACTACACATTTTAAAAATCCACCAATTCACAACCAAGACTACAAAGAACTCAAGCAACTACCACCCTTACCTATCTCATTGGGTGAAATGTTCGAACATCTAGTGACTACCGGACTGATTACCCCAATTCCTACCAAACCAAAGCTCCTTCCTTATCTTGTATGGTACCAACAAAATGAACGTTGTGAATATCATTCGATGCTACTTGGACACAATATCAATAATTGTCTTGCTTTTAAAAAGAGGCTCATGGCTTTGATTAAGAAAGGACGGATCAACCTTGATAGTGTTTTAAATACTCGTGATGTGAACGTGGATCA